TCAAATTATATCGTTATCGACCGAAATTAAGAGATATATCGTGATAAAAGTTTTGGCCATATCGTCCAGCCCTACAATTGGTCTTAAAGGTACACCTTGTTTGTGGATTTTAAGTAAACCATACGGACTAGGTGTGGCCTCCCCTGGGTACAGTCTGTGGTACAGAATACGGTCAGCGTTTCTACATTTTTTTTTTTTTTGCTTTGTTTTGATTTTTGAATGTCCTGAGGACCAGACTTATCTTTTTTAGGCCTTTTGTTTTTTTTTCCAAGAGGCAAGCAATCTCTTACTCCTCGTCTGTTGATATCATGACTGAAATTGTGAAAAATTAAGGAATTTGTCACGATTAAAATCAGGCCCAGCGTGGCTGCGGGAGGTTCTGGAGATTTCCTGGAGGGCCAGTCTGATGTGTGGGCTGCAGGGCCAGCGCTCTCGTTTTTTTATTTTATTTTTTTAAATAACTTTTTATTAACAACATATAAATGCAGAACACTGCTGCAGCTGGGGCATTTTTTAAATTTTTTTTGGCAACCTCTCAATCAGTCCAGTAGGCGTGTCAACAAGTGACCAATCGGCGACCTCAATTTGTCTCGACGGTAAACGCCCCTTGCCTGCAGAGCTGGTCTACAGCCGCTCAGGGTGGATGCTCGAGTATGAAGCCTCGGCGGACAGTTTGTGTCGAGTCCGCGTGGAAAAAGGTCCGTGCGAGTATACTGGAGCCTTTCTGACAGCTCTAAATTGTCACCACATTTGAATGAGAGCATTAGGGGTCGTTTACACGGCGCGTATTTTGAGTGAATCTGCAGCTTTCTCTCTGTGGTTCTGCTGTTCATTTACATGACACCAGTGACCCCACCAGTGACCTCTTTGAATCTGGAGGTTTCTGAACCCACCTTCCAGAGTGGAGGTTTTTTGCTGACCGCCCACTGACAATGTAAACATCTACCACTGAGGCTTTGTGTTAATCCACATGCGCACATGAACGCGCGGACCGACTGCGTATTTCTATCAACGTGGCGGCGGACACATTGCTTTTTGAACTACGACTGATGGAATAGATTTTTAATCTCATAGTTATGCTACGTCAGAATCCAACTGCTATGATCGACATCTGTGTTGGAAGAGACACCAGTCAGATCCAGTTCTAACGTCGCTGTTTATAGAACGAGGCATGCACACACGTCGCGCTGCACTATAACATACTAAATGTGCTAAATAACAAGTTTAATAATAATAAACAGTATTTACCTTAAGTTTGAGATATGTAATGAAGCTCTCTGAGCTAAATGAAGCTATCTGGACATTACTTAATTCAAATTATGTGATTAAAATGATACTAAACATATTGCATGTTACTAAAGTTGAAAATGAAGACATCAGGTTTAATTTTTATTTTATTTATTCAACACCACAAACTATGTCACAAACACTGATAATTAAACTGAACGCATAAAAAACAAGTTAACTGTAAACTGCATTAATGAACTGGACTCCTGTTTTCATCCTGGATATACTGGTCCCACGTTGTTCATCTGGCTTGTTCAGGTTGTCACTCCTTTGATTAATGCAGCTTAAAACATTTAATGGATTGAATAAAAGAAATGAGGTTAATTTTAAATAAATAGTTCATCCAACAACTCTCTCTTCGACACTACACTGCACCTGGGCCGAGGCTCGTTCAGAACAGGTCTGCCTGGTGGAAGGACAGCTTCTTCTTCTTTCAGGAAAAAATAAAAACTCAGTTGGTTGTTGTGTGATCGAAGTAAACACAAGCTAACATTAGGAATGCGTGATATATACGGTACACGGTAGAAACGATAGACATTTAGCCTACGATAGAGCTCTGTCTTACCGGCTAACCGCAGTAATGCTGTATCTGATGTAAAATCAGAGTTGTCAGTTTTATCGTTACTTTTTTAATTTAAAACTGTGCATAAGTGGTGTTCAAGTGTAAAATAAGAGCTGTCAGATTTAATTGTTTTATTTAGTTGAAATCTGTGCGCAAGTGGCGTTAAAGTATTTTCTTCGAGAGCTAAGTAGTGAAGCTACAAGCTAACTACAGCCAGCTTGCTGTAGTGTTGCCGTATTCTGACGCATGTGCAAAACGCTGTGTTCCGTCGAAAGTTTTTTTTTTTTTTTCCGTTGAATGTTAAAGTAAGCGTTGGTCATCTTTAGAGAACCCTGCTCTCTGATCTGTGAAAAGAACGCTGTGTTGTGTGATTTTACTGCGAGACCCTCTGGTCAAAGCCACAGACTCATTTTGCGTCAAGTCAAGTCATATTTATTTATAGAGCACAATTTAGTGTCAGCTCTCCATTAAAGTGGAAGGAGACGCCCACTAGAGGGTTGGAGGGTGAAGTGTTTCAGTGTAAAATGCTGCTCTGTTGCTGTTCATTTCTTAAGTAAGATTGGAAACTGTTAAGAGTTAACAGCATATTTTTTTTGTTTAAAACATGTGGCTAAAACTACATTTGATATATCCTGATGCATGCTCAATAATCCAGGTAGAAAAATCCAAAAAAGTTCAATCTGGTCCTCTGGACATTAAAAAAACAAAACAAACAAAAAAAAAAAACAAAGCAAAAAATATAGAAACGTTTCGTCTCTCATCCAAAAGACTTCCTCAGTCTGAGGTGCTGTTTTCAGCTCAGTCTCTTAAATAGCACCTTCTCAGAGTGGATCAACCAGTTTGCTGCTGACAACCAAAACCAGCTGCTCACATGCTCAAGAAGGACCATCAGCCTAACAATGGGTCATTAGCACACTGATGGCTGTTTACTACTCACAGAGGGCTGAGTGATACTAGCAATAACAGCATTGTAAGAGGGGGACAGTTGAACCCGGAGGCCTCCACCCCTGTTTAATGATGGACGATTTCTTTTCACAAAGATGGCCTCCTTTACTCCTCTCTCAAACCATCGTTCCTCTCTGTCCAGGATGTGAACATCTTCATCCTTGAAAGAGTGACCGCTGGCCTGGAGATGAGTGTAGACCACAGAATCCTGGCCTGATGATGTTGATCTTCTGTGCTGGGCCATCCTTTTGGCCAGTGGCTGTTTTGTTTCCCCGATGTAAGACTGATCACAGCCCTCCTGACACTGAACAGCATACACAATATTACTCTGTTTGTGCCGGGGGACTGGATGTTTGGGATGAACCAGTCTTTGCCGTAATGTATTTTGGGGTTTAAAAGCCACTGGGACGTTATGTTTAGAAAATAAACATCTCAGTTTCTCTGATACTCCCTCAACATACGGAATGACCACTGGTCTGGGTCTGGGTTCCTCCTTTTCACCTGATGGCTGACTGGAGTCCTGTTTGGGTTTCTTCTCTGCTTTCAGGAAGGCCCAGTTAGGATATCCACATAGAGCCTGTTTTATGTAGGATTTCTCCTTCTGGCTGGCTCCCGAGTTAGTGGGGATGCTGTCTGCTCTGTGATACAGAGTCCTGATGACTCCTAACTTGTGCTCCAAAGGGTGATGGGAGTCAAACTGCAAATACTGGTCTGTGTGTGTGTACATTTGATATGTTTTGCACTACAAGAAAGAAGCCTAATACTTGATTTGTTTATTATTTAAAAACTCTCTGGACCTAGTAATGGAATTTTCTTAATTCAAAATATATGATGGCAAAAGGACACCCTATGCTTTTTTTTTTTAGCAAGTTTATACCAAAAACATATTGCGATATATATCATTATCGCCACCCTTCACAATACATATTGTGACATGATTTTTATGCCATATCGCACATTCCTAGCTAACATTATTAAGAAAATTTATTTACCTGCTGTAAATCAGCTACTGATTATCATGGAGTAAAGTCCAACTTTGTCGACTCTGTTCTGGTCCACTCAGCGACCGGTGTGGACCTGTTAGACGAAGCGGTCCCGCTTGGCGTCAAATCTGTCGACTCTTATCCACAGTCCAGCTTTAACTTGTTGTTAAGTTGTTGTTAGCTGAAGTTTTAGCCCATAGGAAAGGAGCGTGCCAAGGCAGCATGCATGCGCATTAGGTGAAGATACAAAATTCATAGCGCCATCTAATGACCCGGCATGGTAACTACAGTGGATTCGGGAGGGCAGGGGGATTCCTCCGGATGCATGTAAACACAAACTCCGTCCGTGCCAATTCGAATCTTTTCCTCTAATTAACATACGAAAAAACCTACGTTTACCCCCATCGTGTCCGTGTAAATAGGGCCTTAATGATGTTGCCTTTCACACATTGACTGCTGTAGATGGGCCTCAACTGCTACACAATGATACTTGGGGAAAAAAGATGGATGGATGTATAGATTAATTTTGTTTTTTACTTTGATTAGTTTTTTTTTTTTTGTGGTCTTTCTGACTTTACAATTGCCACATTCTACACTTGACTCCCTCAGCTTTGAGTGGGCAATCAGATGGCTAAAGTTGAAGGTTAGTGACAAACGTGAACAAAACCGTAGTTGCTCAGAAGTTGAATTGTGTATCTTTGTGACCTTGCAGATATTCTTGTTGGGATCTGTTTTCTGACTAATTTTGGGAAGATAAACTGTGTTCTAGACTACAAAGTCCATGCTCAATGTTCTAGACATTTCTTCCATTGTTAATGTCTGTAAATTTAAAGGGGCAGGGATAGTTTTGTAACTTTTCCCATTCTCTCACTTTTTTTTTCTTTTTTTTTTCCTGACAGCCTCAGATGTGTCCTATTTTCATGCGTGGATTCATTTGAACAAAAATGTTTTTTTGAAGCTCACACTTTCAGTGCACATACTTATTGCATGCACCTTTCTCAGTCAGAAATATGATAGTGTTCATACTGAGATTTTTTTTTGGATGATGTTGTCATTTTATTCATCTTTTTGTCAACTTTGGGTGTTTTATTAAAATTATTCTTGGAAAACAACAGCCAATAAGATAATGTGAGAAATTTTGCTTTATCTGCTTGATAAAATGCCAAGTTTCCTAGCAAGGAACTATTTTATGTTTGATATTGATCTTGTTTGTTCTGTTTTAGGTGCTGACTGCTTCGTTTTGGACACTGTGATGGAAAATCCTGGTAAGAAAAACTCTTTACAAGAGCTCCAGTTCAAATGTTGTTTTGATCCTTTCATCCATTATCTTTACCCGCTTCTTCATTTCTGGGTCTCGGGAGTCACTGTGCGAGAGGCTGGGTACACCATGGACAGGTCTCCACTCCATCACAGGGACACATAGACAAATGAGACAAACAACTATTCACTTGCTAACTCACACCTAGGGTCAATTTAGGGTGCATTCACACCTGATAGTCCGGTAGACTCTGTTCGTTTGGGGACCAATATTCATGACATTTTGTTTACATTTGAGCTGGTGCGTTTGCATTCACACTGCACTGTGCAGTCGAGCCAACCTGTTGAACCAACCTATTCCCCCGCTCGCCTGTGGGGGCGCTGCACCAAGAACTACTGAAAGAAACAACACAAAAATCTCTGAAGAGACTTCTTCTTCTGGAAATAAAAACAAACGGAGTGGCATCAAGTTTTAGGAGTTATCTTTTGTCATTTTTCAAAAATTGACTCTGCATGAGCAGAAGATTAGGCAGAAGACCATGGAGAATATTGTTTTTCACACAAGGCAGCTGACGGCTCCATATGAGGTAAGAGAAATGCGTGTTTGTTTGCCCTGCGCTGTACTCCACTTCTTGCTTGTGGAGCGGGGCCCGGTCTGTTTGCATTCACACTACACTCGAACCGTGCTGGAGTTCTCTTCTACCGGATTGAGACCTAGGTTTTAGCCCGGGCCAGAGTTCGCCTTTTTGTTCCGTGACAGAGTTCGATGGCGCGCACACCTCCCTAAACGAACCGGACTTCCTTGGAAAACGAGCTAGAGTTCGATTAAAGCGGACTAAACAGGGCTGGTGTGAATGCATCCTTAGAGTTACTAATTAGCCCAGTGGTTCCCAGACATTTTCTGCTGGGTCCCCCTTTGGTTTATAATAAAATTTCCGTGAACTCCCCCACCCCTCAATCAACCCCCACCCCAATTTTGCTCAGTTTTTGAGGAAAAAAATGACACTTTTAATCCTCATTTGTTTTCAATAACTGGTGTGACCCTGCTTGTTGCAGATCTACTCAAACCTGGGTTGCAGTTGTGAGACTGCCACTGAGTTCATTTTCAATGTCCAGCTTTGATTTGTATTTTGTCTTGATTGAGATCACAGCAAAAACAACTTTCACATAATTAAGATGTGGTAAATAGAAGTATGGTGCCAGGGCTCTCTTACCTAGCAATGGGTAATCTCTCTCCACTCCAGTCCAAAATAAAAATAACTAAAATAACCGGGATAAATCACTAACCAGTAGAGATGGTGATATAGAATAGAATAGAATTAAACTTTGTCATTGCACGTCACAAGTACAAAGCAACAAAATGCAGTTTGCATCTATCCAGAAGTGCTTGGCAAAAAAAAAAGAAGAGAAAATTATATATACAGGTCCTTCTCAAAAAATTAGCATATTGTGATAAAGGTCATTATTTTCCATAATGTAATGATAAAAATGAAACTTTCATATATTTCAGATTCATTGCACACCAACTGAAATATTTCAGGCCTTTAATTGTTTTAATACTGATGATTATGGTATACAGCTCATGAAAACCCAAAATGCCTGTCCCAAAAAATTAGCATATCATGAAAAGGTTCTCTAAACAAGCTATTAACCTAACCATCTGAATCAACGACGTAACTCTAAACATCTGCAAAAGATTCCTGAGGCTTTAAAATACTCCCAGCCTCGTTCATTACTCAAAACCGCAATCATGGGTAAGACTGCCGACCTGACTGCTGTCCAGAAGCCCGTCATTGACACCCTCAAGCAAGAGGGTAAGACACAGAAAGAAATTGCTGAACAATAGGCTGTTCCCAGAGTGCTGTATCAAGGCACCTCAGTGGGAAGTCTGTGGGAAGGGAAAAGTGTGGCAGAAAATGCTGCACAATGAGAAGAGGTGACCAGACCCTGAGGAGGATTGTGGAGAAGGGCTGATTCCAGACCTTGGGGGACCTGCGGAAGCAGTGGACTGAGTCTGGAGTAGAAACATCCAGAGCCACCGTGCACAGGCGTGTGCAGGAAATGGGCTACAGGTGCCGCATTCCCCAGGTCAAGCCACTTTTGAACCAGAAACAGCGGCAGAAGCGCCTGACCTGGGCTACAGAGAAGCGGCACTGGACTCTTGCTCAGTGGTCCAAAGTACTTTTTTCGGATGAAAGCAAATTTTGCATGTCATTCGGAAATCAAGGTGCCAGAGTCTGGAGGAAGACTGGGGAGAAGGAAATGCCAAAATGCCAGAAGTCCAGTGTGAAGCACCCACAGTCAGTGATGGTCTGGGGTGCCATGTCAACTGCTGGTGTTGGTCCACTGTGTTTTATCAAGGGCAGGGTCAATGCAGCTAGCTATCAGGAGATTTTGGAGCACTTCATGCTTCCATCTGCTGAAAAGCTTTATGGAGATGAAGATTTCATTTTTCAGCATGACCTGGCACCTGCTCACAGTGCCAAAACCACTAGTAAATGGTTTACTGACCATGGTATTACTGTGCTCAATTGGCCTGCCAACTCTCCTGACCTGAACCCCATAGAGAACCTGTGGGATATTGTGAAGAGAAAGTTGAGAGGCGCAAGGCCCAACACTCTGGATGAGCTTAAGGCCTCTATCGAAGCATCCTGGGCCTCCATAACACCTCAGCAGTGCCACAGGCTGATTGCCTCCATGCCACGCCGCATTGAAGCAGTCATTCATGCAAAAGGATTCCCGACCAAGTATTGAGTGCATAACTGAACATGATTATTTGAAGGTTGGCGTTTTTTGTATTAAAAGCACTTGTCTTTCATTGGTGGGATGAAATATGCTAATTTTTTGGGACAGGCATTTTGGGTTTTCATGAGCTGTATACCATAATCATCAGTATTAAAACAATTAAAGACCTGAAATATTTCAGTTGGTGTGCAATGAATCTGAAATATATGAAAGTTTAATTTTTATAAATGCATTATGGAAAATAATGACCTTTATCACAATATGCTAATTTTTTTAGAAGGACCTGTATATACATATGTATGTGTATGTATACATATGTATGTGTATACATATACTTATGTATGTGTATACGTATACATATGTATGTGTATACGTATACATATGTATGTGTATACGTATACATATGTATGTGTATACGTATACATACGTGCACGTATACATACGTGCACGTATACGTCCATGTATACGTGCATGTATACGTCCATGTATACGTGCATGTATACGTCCATGTATACATATGTATACGTGCATGTATACGTCCATGTATACATATGTGTATGTATATATGTATACGTGCATGTATACATATGTGTATGTATATATGTATACGTGCATGTATACATATGTGTATCTGGATCTGTCTCACTTTGACTGGCATCGTATTCTGTTAACTGATGACGTGAACTCTGCTTGGAACTATTTCCATAATAATTTCATTTATTTCCTGAACATACATGCTCCTTTTCGTCAGTTCAGAATAAATGGACTAGACAGCCCCTGGTTTACTCCAGAGCTAGCTGACCTCCTGCACAGGAGAGATCATCTTTGGGCTGCAGCGAGAAAATCTGGCTCAGACACTGATTGGTTGAGTTTTCGACAGATGAGGAATAAATGCACAACTGCTGCTAAAGCAGCAAAACACAACTATTTCTTATCTCAGACCTCCAAAAATCTAAATGACCCTAACAGATTCTGGAAAACCATCAAATCTCTCTCAGGCACCCTCCAATCATCTGACCTCCCATCACAACTTCTCATTAACTCTGTTCCTGTGTCAAATAAGCACGAGATCCTGAACTGTTTCAACAAACATTTTATTGCTTCTGGTTCTTTATTTGACACAGTTACTAATGGAAGATCAGCCACTTCACTTAATAATCAAACTTCTACAAATCAAATCCCTCCTACAAGTAAATCCTCAGTTAATCACAGCTTCTCTTTTTCTCCGTTCTCAGTCAGTGAGGTCAATAAACTGTTAAAAGATCTTGATCCTAAAAAATCTGCAGGTCCAGATGAACTTCCACCTTATTTCTTAAGGCTGGCTGCTCATATCATCACAGTCCCTGTGACCCACATCTTCAATCTCTCCATAAGACAAAACTCCATCCCAGACACTTGGAAAACAACCTTTGTTCTTCCTTTGCTGAAGGGAGGTGACCCCACCTCACTGAACAACTATCGACCAATCTCTAAACTCTGCATTTTAGCCAAGGTTCTAGAAAAACTGATAAACTCTCAAATCAAAAATTATCTGGACTCATTTAACATCTTACCTCCACATCAATCTGGTTTCAGGAAACAACACAGCACAACCACTGCTTCACTGAAGGTTCTTAATGACGTTGTTGAAGCACTGGATGCTAAGGATTATTGTGCTGCACTTTTCTTAGACCTGTCTAAAGCTTTTGACACTGTGGATCATAACATCTTGTGTCATAAACTCTCAGAAATCGGTTTCTCAGATCACACCATTGGTTGGTTCTCTAACTTTCTTTCAGACCGGAGGCAATGTGTTCAACATAATGGTACTTCCTTCAGTTATTTAATAGTCAACAATGGTGTACCACAAGGCTCAGTCTTAGGACCCACCCTCTTTACAATCTATATACATAATGTAGGTAAAAACATCCCTAATGCATCCATACATTTCTATGCTGACGACACAGTTGTTTATTGTCGAGCTAAAACTGTTGCTAAGGCTTTCCAGCTTTTGAAATCTGCATTCAACATCATCCAGACTGATTTGTTTCACCTCAAACTTGTCCTAAATGCCGAAAAAACCAAAGGGATGCTTTTTTTCAAATACGAAGTTGGTCCCAGCAGTTCTTCCTCCGATTTTATCCTCAAATGGTGTCCGCATTGAGTTTGTTTATTCCTATAAATATTTGGGTATCTTGGTCGACTCGCATCTTTCTTTTAAGCTCCATGTGGAAAACTTGATAAAGAAACTGAAAGTTAAACTGGGTTTCTTTTTCAGAAACAA